GGATGAGGAGGACGAGGAGGAGGAGGAGGAGGAGGAGGAGGAGGAGGGGAGGGGAGGAGGACGTTGTGGTGGTGGTGGCTGGCCATGAAGGCGAATTCAGCCTCAGAACAAATCGACGTCCGAGGCCTCCGATCCGATGTCGGAGTCCTCAGCGGCCTTCACCCGCCCGAGCTCCTTCACCCGCGACAGGTCGGACCCCAACACCCCAGAGGCCGCAAGGACATGCGCTTGCGAGGGCAATCCAGAAACAGACACTTCCGCCGTCGGGCCCACAGGTGGCCCAGCGGATTCACACGGACGGCCACAGTTCTCTAGCCCAGCCTTTTTTCACAGGGCCTCAACGCACGAGGGGGCATGAGCCGCAGAGCCCTGGTGGATGCACGGTAGTGCGGGTGCAAGCCGTTCCTGATGCGGGCAATCTGAAATTTCACCCCAGGGCGCGGTGGCTTGCGCAAGCAACGCTCGAGCAGCACTTGCCGCAACGCCCCCCCCCCGAGGTGTAACCTCCACACATGAAACAAAACGTCACCGAACTGATATCGGTGGCTTGCTCTACATCGCACTTCAGCAGCGCGCGTCCTCTGAAATACGCCACATGCTGGGCTTCTTCGGCCCAAGTCGTGAACACCCCTCCGTCCCCCAGCTCGACAACGGACGACGACTCGGCCTCTTCTCCTCGTCACAAGGCAAAGGCGCGGGAGGCAGCTCCTCGACTGGCGCTGGGCCAGCGAGCCCAACCGAGTCCAGTCGAGAGCCAGCCTCCGACAACAGGACTTCGAGCATTCCAGCCCAACGCGCCTGCTCCGCCGCCAAAGCCTTAAAAAGCCTCGGAAGAGGCAAGCATCATCTTCTGTGACGCCGTGCAGCATGGCTCCTCGCTTCGCGTGGAGATCGGCCGCCTGATTCGCACGCATTTCCCACTCGCTCGTGCGACCCGCGGCAACATCCGCGTCCGTCGCATGCGCAAGTGTCTTGCGCGCAGTAAAATCTGCTTCGCTGAAGGCGGCCCAGAGCGGAGTCCGCATGTGTGCTCTGGGGCTGTCCGACCCCGTGCCAGAGCCAGGACCGCCGAGCAACACAGTCAAGGTCGCTTTGCAGCCCAAGAAAATGTCTAACGGCCCTTGCCCTACTTGCGTCAGCATATAAATGGCAAAGTCCTCCACGTCATTGGCCGTCTGTCTGGGCCCAAAACGCCTGGGGACAGGGCCGAAGGCTGCATGCAAGAGGTTGCCGAACCTATCTACCTGCACAAGCGCCCACCCAACCCTGGAGATTCCCGGCAAAGACGGCCACATGGCTGAGCCATCGCTGAACACACACCCTGTAAGCATCCCGCTGGGCGGCCTGTTCACCCAGCAGATACTTTCGAGAAGCTCTACATTGGGGATGAAGGCGAGGGGACTGGGCAAGACATATCTCGCGAATCGCTCTCCCTCCGCCTCCCCGACCGCCAAGGCCCGCTTCGCTCGAAGAGCAAGCCAGGGCGAGACTCCATCTCTCCTGACGCTCTCGTGCAAATCGCACGCATAGTGTCTGTGCCACAGAGTCCCCCTGCTCCCCTTACAACCTTGGCAAAGATCTGACTCGCGCATCCCGTGCACGTGCACGCGTGCCTGCGGCCAGTGCGCATTGCACACTAGTGCCCTCAGTGCTCTCTGGTGGTGGCCTGACCACCCTCTCGACCTCGAGCGGAGCAGTGGCTTCAGGCCCTCCCAAAAAAAAACTGGAAACACACTGTCTTGCATCAAGGGGCCCTTGCTCCCAGAACGGCCAGAGCACTCTAACGCTTGCCGATCGGAAGCCCTGACCGCTCCTTCATGCACGAGCGCACGAGGGGGAGGAGGAGGAGGAGGAGGAGAAGGAGGAGGAGGAGGAGGAGGAGGAGGAGGAGAAGGTGGAGGAGCACGTGGAGGAAGAGGAGGAGAAGGGGGAGGGGGATGAGGAAGAGGAAAATGGTGTCTGCTCTGGGGCTGCAACGGGTTCCTGCGGGTCCCTTTTTGTGGTGCTTCCTGGGCCGTGCAAAGGGTGCTTAGGGGGCGTGGGGTGTCTTGGGGGTCTCCCTGGGGGGGGGGGGGGGGGCGTTCTTGGGCCGTTTGGGGGGGGCCCTGGGGCCTCGGGGGGGGCCGTCCGAGAGGAGGGCGGGGGTGGGGGGGGGGGCGGCTGGGAAATGATGCTGGTCGTCGCGACGTGGGGAGGGGAGGGAGAAGGGGGAACAAGAGAAGAGGTCGTGCCTCACGGCACAACACCACATCCTCAGGTCGGGCATTTCCGCCTACAGGGGGAATGATGACTAAAAATCAACAAAACACAAAACAAAACTTCATAGATGTATGTTTTAAATGTATAGACTGACTAAATCGTCCCCAGACTATGGTTTAAGTATTTTTGTAATTTTACTCCTGTAGAGGAACACACCCAACTGAACCACATCCGGGTGGTTCTGGCCGCACAAGGGCCTCTCCCCAGGAGGCGGGACCACCAAGCGTCCCTCTTCGTAACGTCGCGCCGCCGCCCGGAGGGCAAGGGACAAGCTCAGGCCGCGACGCAAGAGCCAAGATGTCGTGTGCTGACCGGCAGTGTATCTCTGAAGCCAAAGATGGCCGACTGCGAGCCGTTCGCACTACAGTGGGGGCCGTACCACAAGAAACCTTCCAAACGAAACCCAACCCTGAGACCCGAGGACGTCCATTGATTTTGGATGTGGGAACGTCGCGCTCTCCATCGCAAAACCATCGAAACCCAAGAAACCCTGGAGGCAAGCAGGGTGTTTCTTGGCATGGGTCTCCACTGTATGCTGGCCGGCAGAGCATATGTGAAACCACAAATTGCCGACTGCGAGCCCTCGTTCGCACTACGCGATCGACGGCGATCGAGAGGGAAACCAGAAGCCCCTCACCCGTGAAATCATAGCATCGGTCTGCAGACCCAAGGCTGCGTGGGTCTAACTCCCTGAGGGTCCCGAGCACGAATGGTTTATCTATGTATTCAGTCGGGCGGAAGATTTGGATCCACAAAGCTTCCACGCCAAAGCATTGGGTCAAGACGAAATAAAATGGATCCACATGACTGCCGTATACACAAACGAAATGAGATCAAATTGGATCAAGGTTCCACTGCAAGAGGCAAATGCAAGCCAACGTGGACACCAAACAGTAATCCGTTGCAATGTGCGACGCAAACTAGGTGGTGTAAACAATGTGTTGCAGTCGAGAATCAACTACGTGTGGGGCAATCGATGTAGCACAAAGCAATGAAAAGCCATGCAAAGCAATGCAATCCACTACAACGAAATGCAATGCAATGCCAAGCAATGCAAAGCCATGCAAAACAATCATACAGAGTAGTGAGACGCAATGCACTTCAACGAAAAATAATGCAAAGCAGTGAGAAACAGTAGAACGCAATGCTTCACAATGCAAACCAGTGCAACGCAAAGCAATGCAAACCATGCACAACAAGGCACAGCACTGCAACGCAGTGCTAACCAATGTAAACCAGCGCAAAGCAATGTGCATCAAACAATGTATATCTATACACTGCAAAGCAAACTAACGCGAAGCAAGGGAAGGTCACGCAAAGCAATCCAACACGATGAGCAGCAATGCAAAGCAATACGAATCAATGCAAAACAATGCATCGCCATGCAGAGCAATGGCAACGCACGGTAATGCAAAGCCATGCAGAGCGAGCAGTGCACAGCACGGCGATTGCAACGCAATGACGCGAAGCAACGCGAAGCAACGCCGAGCAATACCGAGCAACGCAGAGCACTGCAAAGCACTGCGAAGTAGTGCGGAGCGGGCGGCGACGAGGCGAGGGGCGGCGACGAGGCAGCGACGGCCGCCACACGGCGGCCCGAGCAGCCCGCAGGTCCATGCGGACGGGCGGCGACGAGGCGGCGACGGCAGACACACGACGGCCAGAGCGGGCCGCAGGCCGAGCTCCTCCTCAGCGACAGCCGAATCCCTGAGCGCAAACACTGTCCGGGGAACTTTCGGCCATGGGGATGCACGCTCGCGCCCCTGGGGGGGGATCTGATTAGCAGGGTCTCCCAGGAGAGCTCGGACATCTGAATCCCAGTCGGGGCTTCTAAGCAGCCCAGACAAGTCCGACGGGTCTGGAGTGCTGCTTTTGCTGCACGCCTGACGGCCAGGGCTCTCTGGTGGCGACGGCAGATTAGAAGGAGATCTGGAAATTGGCACCAACGCCTTCATGATCCTAGATCCTAGATGTTGGTGCTGGTGGTAATATTTCGGCCACCTGTGAGGCCCGAAGTACTACCACAATCACCGAGATCGGGCCCGACTTCCCTCGATGGAGGACACCGCCAGCATTGGCCGGTGCCAACTTCTAGGCCCCCTAGAAGGCGAGGGACCAGAAGGGAAACCGCTCGACTCTTGAATGATGGGCTTGTTTTCCATCACCACCATCACAAATTGGAGGGGGAGAGGGTCCTCCTCTTCCCCCTCCTCATACTCCTCCTCTTCGTCCTCCTCCTCCTTCCCCCCTCCAACTTATGGTGGTGGTGGTGGAAGACACGCCCATCATTGAACAAAGGAAGGCGCCTGAAGTAGTTAGATGGGTTTGGCTTTGGGGTCATATAGCTCGGGTCCACGGCGGCCGTTCCCAGCTCCCTCCCGGCGAGGCGGGGGTGCCTGGATGGAGAGCCGCCAGGAGCCGACGGGAACGACCGAAAACCTGCAGGTGTTCGGTCGTTTTCGTCGGCTCCTGGAACCCCGAACCATGGAACCCCGAACCATGGTTCGGGGTTCCATGGAACCCCGAACCAACAACTCCCAAACTTCCCCCCCACCCCCCGGGGAGCGCCGTCGAGCGGAAGCGGGAGGCCCTCGGGAGCTGGGAGTCCACAAGTGCCAACCTGCCCTCAGCGAGCAGTGGGCAAATGGGCGGCCTCTCGGGACGAGCACGCGCGCTTGGGGGGGCTCCCGGGATGGTGGGCTTGTCCGCCAGGCCGACGCGCTCCAGCATCCGCTGCAGCATCACCACGTCCGCGTCCAGCACGGCTCCGAGGCCGAAGTCAAAACGAAGCCAAGACGAGGATAAACTTGGGCGACGAGAAATCAAGATTCTCTGAGATCTGGCGGCTCTGGAGGATGTCTCGGGCGATGCGGCCTTCTCAAAGCGTTCTGGGACGCTCTGGAACGGATTATCCTTAGGTCGGGCATATCCCCCTACAGGCGGATCTTGGTTGAAAAATAAACCATACTCCCAAACTGCTCAAAATATTTAAAGAAATCCCACCAGCCCTCTGGGCGTAGGTGGTCTAGAGCAGATCCTCTTCCACCCCTCCCTCTTCCCCCTTGGGGAGGGGTTTACCCCTCCCCCTACCCCCTCCCCTGGACCTGGACGGGGGGGGCCGCGGGTAGTTAGAGCGTCCCAGATCCCAGATCCAAGACGGCTCAAGAGCGCCTGAGCTCCAAGATGAGCTCCAAGATGGCTCAAGATAGCGCAAGATCGATGGATGGCTCCTAAGATGGTTCCAAGAAGCCCAAAGACGGCCCCAAGATAACTCCAAGTGGCCAAACAGCTCCCCAAGGAGGCCCCGAAGAGGCCAAAATCGTCCCAAAACCTAAGGAAAATCAATGATTTTTGCTTTCTCGCCTTTTCGCTTCCGATGGCCATCCGAGGCCTGGAGATGGTTCCAAGATGGCCCAAGAGGGCCCCAAGAGAGCCCCAAAAGAGCCCCAAGACGGCCCCAAGAGCGCCCAAGAGCACTCCAAGAGCGTTCCAAGAGGGGTCCAAGAGGCGATTTTAGGGGCTTCCGAGGGGGGACGCTAATTAAACCCCCCCTCTTGTTTGATCGATCTCCTCCAAGATGGCCCCAAGAAGCGCCCAGGAAGCCCCAAGAGGTCCCAAGATGGCCCCAAAATGGCCCCAAGAGGCCCCCAAGAGGCCCCCCGGAGGCCCCCAAGAGACCCCCAAGAGGCCCCAAGAGCCCCCCCAGATGCACCCAAGATGCTCCAAGAGGCCTCGGCGAGAATGCCTAATCATTGATTCTACACAGGTTTTAGCCACATGGAGGCCTCTTGGGGGGGGGCACGGATTAAGATGACTCCAAGAGCGTCTGGGAGAGCCCAAAATGACCTCCAAGATGGCTCAAGATATCCCAAGATGTCTCATAATGGCTTCCTCTGTGTGCTGCCCACTTCTCTGATCGAGGCAATTCCTCTGGGCATCGTTTCTGGATGGGCTGGTGGGGATTCGCGAAGCGACAACAATTTGTGTTAACAAAATCGTCCCCAGACTATGTTTTACCATTTTTGAGTATTCCTCCTGTAGAGGCACAGGCCCGACTTAATGTTATCCTCGTCCTAGCCCCGTCCGAAAAAAAAATCCGTACGCGCCCAGCGCCCCGGGATCCGCTGCCCCGGGGGCCTAAGATCTCCGACGATGCGGCGTCTTTCCTTCGATCTCGGGCCTCGGGGGGCGCTGCCGAGCGCCCGGAGCCCCAGGACCATCAAAAACGGGTCCTGGAAGAAGCGGGTAAAAACATGAAGCAGGAAGGCAGATAAAGTAGATTGGGCCCAGGCCCCCCCACAGAATAACGAAGCGCAGCAAGAGCATATCGATTATTGAAGTAAGCAGGCGCTCGAAGTAGGTTGGGATCTGGGAATTCCAGACTACCTAGTGAGCGTTCTTATTCGGCGTTCCAACATGGGGCGGAAGGGGGGTGGGGAAGGGGGGGAGTCTGTTTCCGGACCCCTGCTTCATGAGACCGTTTGACACGGGCGCCAAAAACGGCCAAGATCTATTCCTATTCCACGGGGGGGGGGGAGTGGGGATGCGAGGGCCCACGCAGATCGACAAGATAATGAATAAGAAAACGACCACCTACTTTCAACGACCAGCATTGTACCCCCAGGGAAGCGGTCGGGGCCGCGGACTGAACAAGCACACAAACATAAACACACACACACACACATCGGCTAATGCCAGGGAGCCCTGAAGCAGCGGACGTGGATGTGTCTGGACCCCCAAGGACTGCAGCAATAGATCCACACTCTCTAGCTCCTGGGGTCCCGGGGCGTCGGCGCCCCGGGCGGTTGATTCCAGGAGATCCGACGCCGCGACAAAAACACATCCGTAGTGAAAAGCAAAGGCCAGAGCCCTCGGCCCCGACTTCCGGCACCATCTCTCAGCCCAGATCGCTGCATGAAGCGCAGCTGGTGCCGAGCTCACCAACGTGCCAATAGAAGCTTAATCTGCTCCGAGCAAATTGACATATAAGAAAAAGAAAAACGGCATAAACATTAACTTTTCGCGCTCCGCGCGGACTTCTTGGATCTGCGCAGGACCCCCCTCTCTGGCGAGCGGAACGCGCCAGGGGCGGCGCTGGAGGCGGCGCTGGAGGCGCCGCCGGGGGGCTTCCAGTGCGGATCCAAGAATCCGCACGGAGCGCCCAAAGTTTATGTTTATGGCGTTTTTCTTCTTCGAACAAGCTGCACTGAGAAAGTTGGCACATGCAGCGTCGCTCTGTGGAGGGGCTGATACGTGCCGAATCCCACCAGCCCTCTCTCTCGAGAGAAAAGCGCGACGGACCCAAATTCGGGGACGCACTGACCCGGGTCAGTGCAGACCCCGGCCAGTCGAACCTCGCAGGATCCTGCAGGATCCTGCACCCGAGCCCAGGTGAGTGCGCCCCTGGCCCTGCAGGATCCTGCAAGATCCGGCGCCTCTTAGGGCCTCTTGGAGGCCTCTTGAGGAGCCTCGCGGGGCTGGCTGGGCGTCTCTGGGAGCGTCTGTGGGGGCCTCCTGGGGCGGGCGGCTAGGATTTTCGGTTCACGCGCATTGTGCCCTTTTGGGGCCGTCTTGGGCCCCTCTTGGGCCGATTGGGGCGCCTCCTGGGCTCTCTTCGGGCCGTCGTGGGCCGTTTGGGGGCCCTCTTGGAGGCGTCTCGGGCCGTCTTGGGGCGGTACATTGGGGGGGCTCTGGCCGACCCCCGCTTGCATGGACCCCCGTCTCTGTCGGCGGCGACGATAAGAGCGAATAGCCCAGGGGCGGGCATCACACGCATTCGCCCAGGAGCCTTGTCGGAGACATGGATCATCGGCGCCCCTGGATGATTACATGTACTGGTCTCCCCTGGGCTGTTCGCCACTTTCGTCGCCTCTGACCGCCTCTGGAGCGCGGGGGGCCGCCCGTCACCAGCCTCGAACTTATCCCTATCCCTAAGATCGACACGCCCAAAGGCGATGACAACCTTAGGGATGCCCCCTCAGAAACTCTGGGAACCCCTCAGATCGCCATCGTGATGAGGCGATGCCCAACATAATTAGGGACAGGGATAGGTCCCAGGCTGGTTAGCCCGGCCCGAGGCCAGGCGAGCACGCCCGGCGTGCAGCGGCACCGTGCGCCCGGAGCTCGGGGCACCTGGCCGACCGCCGCTCCCTGAGCATGTTCTTAGGGTGGAGGGCTCAGGGCGGAATCCATAGGGGCTCTCGCACCTCGAAACTCAGTCCGTCTTGTGATTCACCTTTTGCAGGCTCAAGCCTCGAGAATCCATCGAAACGGCATGTCAGACTTCACCCCCGGCCCTCCGCCCACAGACAATGCTCGGCCTCCCGCCGGCCTCCTCGCCGACCTCCCGCCTGCGGAGCCCGCCGCCGCTCCGCCTCCGCCGCCCGGCAGCCCCCCAAAGAGGACCCCCACAACCGTACGTCGGGCCTGCCCCTCTACAAGGGGGGGATACAAAAATAGTCCAGAAATAGTCTGGGGACAGTTGTTTGATATTCTGTTTGGCAGTTTTGGTGCATGTTCTGACGATTGTGCATTTTTCGTCCAAAACCCTCCTGCAGGAGGACAGGCCCGACTTAACCATAACCCCGGAGCTGGGGAACCGTCGAGAACCGCCGAAAGCCTCAAGCCTCGACAACCGCCCCGCGGGTCGACTGCGGCCTCGGGATGGCTATCAGCTCGGAGCCGAGGTACGACTCGTCCTCCGCCTCCTGCCCGACGCACACGATTGTGCTGCACTCGCTCGCTCCGCTCCGCAGGAGGTCGGACGCCAGGCTCGCGCTGCCCCGAACGGCCCCAAGGTTCGTGTCGCCCTCGAGGTCCAGGGCCTCTCACGAGCGGCGACCATATCCATATCCGCGCCCTCGCGGTCCCTCAACCCAGTCGGGTCGTCGAACAACTGCCACGCACAACTGTTTGCTATTGTTGGGCTCCGGGAGCCCTCGCCGGACCCCAGGACCATCAAAACGCGACTGAGGATGAAAAGCCAGACCCTAGGAAGGGGCCCAGACGTCGAGGGGGTCAACGTCATCGGGGGTCTTCATTTACTCCCTCGCTGTCTGGGTTCTAGGGCGCGATCCCGTGGATACGCGGTCCGCGGGGCCGTGGGCACGGACATGTTCCCCGCCCACGGGCCTCCGCAACGTCCTGGGCGGGCACCTTCGGGCATAACACCTGGGAGAAGCGGGGGCGGAAAAGCCGGCGTGGGCAGAAACTGTCGGAGGTCCGCGCGGACTCCCTGGATCGGCACAGCCACAGCGCCCACTTGGCGCCGACCCTAGCGCGCTCCTCCGCGCGCCAGGAAGGCGCCCCAGCGCCGACCCGAGAAATCCACGCAAATCTTAGAAAGTTTATGTTTCTGTCGCCGTTTGTTCCTTCCCTGGGGAACAGAGAGATATGCCGATACTGCCAGCGACACGCAAGCACGGCGCGGGGCAAGATACCTTTGGTGGGCGGCGTGCCGATCTCTTCAACATGTTGTGCGACAGCTGGGGGCCGTGTGCTTGGGCGTTTCCCCCCCCCCCCCCCCGCGCCCCCCCCCGCCGTCCCCCCCCCCGCTCCCGAAAGTCGCGCACCAAAGGTCACTTTGGCGAAGGGTCACCCTCTGATGGGGAGCAGTCGTGGACCGGCTCACGGGGGGCAAACATCGAGCTGGAATCGGCGATACATCGATGACAAGTCGGCGACCGGCCCCCGATAGCGAAACCGCACGCTCCTGGGCGGGGTAGGCTATAGGGCCCCCATCGGGGAGCGATGGGAGATCGATGAACCCACATACGCACACTGCATCTGTACACCACCAACGTGCCAAGCCAGGGCCATCCTGGCCTTGGCACGGTGTGCACGCCCTCCTGGCCGAGGCCAGGAGGGTCTATGCTCCATCCTAGGGCCCAGGATGGCTCTGGCCTGGCACGGTGGTGGTGTATAGACGCCGTCGTCGGAACACACAGACAACACACATACACATATATACACACACACACACACGCAGGCACACACACAGACACAGTCCCCCCTCCCCCATACACACACACACACTTTGTTGCGTCGGCGGCTAGGCAGAACAACTGCGCTGGCGGATGAGCTAACTAAGCGGGGGTACCGTTGTAGCGAATTGTGCCACCATGCAGGAAGCGGGGAGGAGACAGGGAGGGCGGCCGAAGGAAAAGACAGGGAGCGAGGGCCGCTCAGGGGGACGGGTCACACCCGGAGCGAGTGGCGCGGCCAGCCCTCAAGGCGGGTAGGCGGCGGCTGCTGCACCGGGGCCCGGCGGCGGGGCGCAGTGCGGGCACTGGGACAAGCCAGGTGGGTCAGGATGCGATGCGATCAGTGCCAAAGCCGCACACACACACACACACACACACACACACCCTGAGCATGTCCCCCCCTAACGTTGCGCCTGACTCGTGCGCGTGCCAGCGCTGCTACTTCCCTTACTTGTTCCCCAAGTGCGTCCTGCCACTGACTTCGTGGGGCGAACCCGGCCTTGACTACATAGAACAAGGGCTCTCCAGGGCGCCCAGCGGCCAGAGAAGGCGAAGATCGGGCAGGCGGAGGCGTCGCAAGGGGTACGGTAGAGGGAGGCACAAAGGAGGAGGAGGGGAGGAGGAGGAGGAGGAGGAGGAGGAGGAGGAGGAGGAGGAGGAGGAGGAGGAGGGAGGGAGGAGGGATGAGGGAGGGAAATCCGCGACAACTTCTGGGGGGGGGTCAGCAGAACCTGCCGCCCGAGGGAGGCAGGGAGGAGCAAGGAGGAACACGAGAGAAGGGAGGGGGGATGAGGGACGGAGGCAGGGAGAGAGCTGGGGGAGGGGGGGACGCGGGAGGGGGGGGAGGGGCGGAGGGGCGCCAGCCCGGTGGATGAAGCCTGCCACACGAAACCCAGCCCTGAGACCCCAAGACGGCCATCGGTTGATTTTTGGTTTGGGAACGTCACGCTTGCCACCGCGAGGCCATCGAAGCCCGAGAACCCCGGGGGCCTTCTGGAGGTAAGCCAGGTATCCAAACATCCGACGACGAGACTTTTCCAATCCGGGGCCCCACCAAGTCCTGCCCGCTTCCCCGGGGCCAACTTCTCGCCCCGGGGGCCCGATGCCGGGAAGAATCGAGGAGGAGCGGCGGGAACCGCAAACAGCATAATGACAGTGGGGGCCCATGCCAAGGAACACCCTGCTCGCCTCCAGGGTGCCCTGCGTTTCTCGGGTTTCGATCGTTTTGCGGTGGCAAGCGTGACGTTGCCACACCAAAAGTCAGTGGACGTCCTGGGGTCTCTGGGTTGGGTTTCTTGTGGAAGGTTTCCTGTGGACTGGCCTCCACTGTACTCATCGTCGGAGGCATGAACACTCCCCAACCCGAGCACCACGATCGGCATGTCGAACGGCAGGTACCCCGCCCGGCTCTGCCTGGAGGAATGAAAACTCCATAGACATCAGCTTCCAGGAGCCCGCGCGGCTTTCTTGGACTTGTGCTGGAGCCCCCTCCCTGGTTGCGCTCCACGTGCCAGGGGCGGCGCCGGAGGCGCCGCCAAGGGAACCCCCAGCGCCGATCCGAGAAGTCCGCGCCGAGCTCCGCAAGCTTCTCGTGCCGCTGCTTCTTTCGGCGGTGGACAAACCTCCCTTTAGTAGACCTCTAGTGAAAACGGCCCAAGACCGAAACCGACGGACCTGGACCCGCAAAAATGACGGCCGCGACGCCCCCTCGCGAGCCGAAAACGGCCAATTCGCTAATCGACGTATCAGGGTAGGAGGTCTATCCACCCCCGATCTTCTCCGACGGCCGCACGAAGCTCACCGCGGAGGACCAGGACCTCTGGGCCAGCAGCAGCACGAAGGGCGCCTCCATGGCGCGGGCCCGGATGTCCGCCGCCCGCATGGCCAGCGTCGACACCAGCTGGCCCGAGATCGGGTCGGAGTCACTGGACAGCACCGAGCCGCGCCTCTGCGGAGGGCGGGAGGGGACAGTGAAGGGGCCCAGGGACACACATAAATACACACAAATCCCAGGACTCCCCATATTTTCTCATCTTTTCTGGATGCCCGTCTTCCCCACCACCACCCCCATATTTTCCGATACTTTCCTGGGGGTCGATGATTCATTGTGTCTGTGTGTTTTTCCCCTCCTGAAGCAGAACGGAACAAAACAGCTTATTTGGAAGGACCGAAAACCATGCCGTGGCATGGCGCTGGAAATAATGGCGCCAGCGCTGCAGCGGGAGCACGGCTCGGAACGAGCGGAAGCGCGGAAATGAGGCCAGCGCTGCAGCGGGAGCACGATTCGGGACGAACGGTGGCCCGAAAATGAGGCCAGCGCCTCTGCGAGAGCAGCATTTTGAAAAGAAACCGTAGCGAAAACCCGCTTCCCGGGAATCCTGCGTACAAAAACCAGTATGCGGAGGGGGGCCAGCCCTTTCCCGGACGTCACCAGGGGAGAGAGGAGAGTGGTATTCGTTTTTTTGTAATTGTGGGGGGAGCGAGGGAGGAAGGAGGGGGGGCGGGGGGGGGGGAGGGAGGAGGGAAGGGGGGGAGGGAGGGAGGGAGGAGAGGGAGGGGGGAGGAGGCAGGGAGGAGGGAGGGGGTCCGAGAGAGGGAGGGACCCTGGCAATCTCCGACAAGCTCCCCGACATGTGCAGGAGGCCACCCCGCGCAGCGCACCGCCGCGCCTGGCCGGGGCCCTCCTGGGCCCTTGCGCGGTGCATGCGCCGGCCCTCGTGGCCCACGGGGGGGTGGGGCTTCACGCACCGACCGGCTGCCCAGGAGGGCCCTGGCCTGGCGCGGCGCTGCGCTGCGCGGCGTGGCCTCCTGCACATGTCGGGGAGCTCGGAGGTTGTCAGGGTCCCTCCCTCCCTCCCTCCTCCCCCCTTTCCCCCTCCCCTTCCTCCTCCCTCCCTCCCCCGGGTGTTGAGACGATGCCAAAACGAGGATAGAATCGGGTGGGGATAAAACGAGAATGTCTGAGATCCGGCGGCTCTGGAGGATGTATCGGGCGCCGCGGCCCTCTCGGAGCGTTCTGGAACGCCAGGAGTGCGTTCTGGAACGCTCTGGAACGGATGTACCCTCGTCCTAGCCCCGTCCGAGGCGTACATGTGCTTCCTGCGGACCCGAATCCAGCTCTCCGACGACGTGCGTTGCCACCTCCGTGTCCTGTTTCTTCGATTTCGGGTTCTGGGGGTTCGCTCTCGCACCCTATGGCCATCAAACAATGATCCGGGATGAAAACTACCCCCGGCCGGGGAAGGGGTCGGGACCTCTGGAGCCGCGCTTGTAAAACATCGCAACGTCGGATGTCTGGGACTGGAACCACCCTGGAACATGCAGGCGAACCAAGAGCTTTGGAGCCCTCTGCCTTCCAAGCGGGTGGTTGACGAGGCTAGACCGGCTTGCGGAGCTCCCCCCGCTTGCAGTGCTCCGCCTTCGGTCCTTCGGTCTCGAAGGATACGACAGATGACAATATAATGACAGGGCATGGTGATGATCTCCCATGAGGAGCTTCTCTGCAATGCATATGGGCTGCCCAAGAAGGCGGAAGATCTACTGGGTCCCAGAACATCCCAACCTTCACCCGACCACAGAGGCGTTACGTCGTCTGCTGGTGTCTCTGTCAGATCCTTGCCCAGCGGTGAATCCGTTGGGAAGAGGGTCATGCCGCCCTCGAGGCTTGGGAACGCGGCGCATCAGCGTTCTCATCCGCTGGGGGGGGGCCCGTGACAAGACCTACTCAGGATCCCCCTAACGTTACCCTCCCAGGCATCCGCCCATACGATTGGTTCAATCCGAGACCCCAGATGTACTTCTTCCATGGGAGTAGTTACTGTTGCTCGTCCCGGATTCATGCCCCAAAAACTGCCTGCAGAGGCCGAAACCGAAAAACAAGGCCTGGAGTTGCAACAGAGCAGATCGTCGGAGATCTGGGCCTGACGTGGCCCCTGAGAGGGCTGGCGGGGACGAGACACCAGGTGACGATACTGGGACCCGGGGGGCCTGCCCCCACCGGGTGTGGGGGGGGGGGGGCTGGTGCGGGCGCGACGGGGGGGGGCTGCCGTGGGCTGGTGGGGCCGGGACCCGAGGAAGGAAAACATGTGAAAACGTAAACTGGTGGAGCTCGGACTCGGACTCGGCCCCACGCGTGTGGCGCCATGAAGGCGCTGCGAAGGGGGCGCCGAGGAGCCTGCATGGAAGAAATCGGCAAAACAGCATTCACATGTGAACATTTTCCATGAGAGGCGTCAGAGGAGGAGGAGAAGGAGGAGGAAGAAGAGGAGGGGGCCAGAGAGCGAGAGGCAACGCGGGTAGAGAGGGGGAAACGTCGGCGATGCCGTCCAACCAGCCGGCACCAACAAGTTAAGACCACGATTCCGAAGCTCCCCTCGGATTTCTTGCATGTGCGCTGGACCCCCCGCCCTGGCGCGCGGAGCGCGCCAGAGGCGGCGCCGAGGGCACCGATCCAAGAAAACCGTGCGGGGCTCCGAAAATGTTATGCTTACAGTCGGACCTGGAACAGAAGAGCATCCTTCAAGAACATGAGACCGGCCAAAACACACAGAGCATCCGACGGCGTCCTCCCCAGGATGCACAACCCCCCCAGACAAGCAGGAAGAATATCAGGATGCCCTCCCCGAACTGACATCGATCTTACATGCCTCGGCCAGACTCCATGCCCCGTGGGCTTGCTCGTGGAGGGACGCGGTGGCCCGATGGACGATGCCGGGAGCACACTGGCCGTCGTCGTCGTCGTCGTCGTCGTCGTCGTCGCCGTCGTCGTCGTCGTCGTCGTCGTCGCCGTCGCCGTCGCCGTCGCCGTCGCCGTCGCCGTCGTCGTCGTCGTCGTCAAGGCCCGCCCGCGGGCGCTCCTGCCCGCTGCCTTCCTCGGGCACGGGCCGCGACGCCCGCAGCGCCGCCTCGCTGGCCGAGCCGACGGGGCGCGCGGCGCGGGCTCCCGGGGGGGGGGAGATCTTCGGGCTGCTGGAGGCTGACCTTGAGCTGCCCTTTTGGCTGGTCTTGTTCTGGAGCTGTCGTCGGCCGCTTTGCCGACCAGTGAATGTTTGGGGATATATTCTGCGCTTAGACACATGCCCTAGCGGGCCTTGAAGAGGCAAAAATCTGCCCATCCCTTCGTAAAACGTACATTGTCAGCATACTCGCTTGCTTCGTCTTCACAGTGCCCCAGACGCCCCCGAGGAGCCACGAGACAGCCCAAGAGAGACCCGGGCCCCGAGATCCCTCCGACTCTCTTTCTTCGAGCCGGGCGTTGACGCATAACTTCGGCCCCCTCCCCGGGACTCTCGCAGGTCGATCCGGCTCAAAAAATGCACAGAAAAATTGGGTCTAGGGTTAGGTCGGGCATGTCCTCCCACAGGCGGATTTTGACGAAAAAAAACTGTTAAAGAGACAAAAACATTCAAAATCCCACCAGCCCTTTAGGGCGTCGGTGGTTTAACGAGTTTCCTCTTCCACCCCTCCTTCTTCCCCTTCGGGGAAGGGTCTACCCCTCCCCCTACCCCCTCCCCACTGACCTGGACAGGGGGGGCGGGGAGCAACGGCCTCGCCGAGGAAGCCAAAATCATTGATTTTACTAAGGTTTTGGCCCCATTTTGGCCTTCTGAGGGGGCAGCGCTAATTGAAGCTCCCCTCTTCTTTGATCGATTTCCTCCAAGATGGCCCCAAGAAGCGCCCAGGATGCACCAGGAGGCCCCAAGATGGCCCCAAGATGGCCCCAAGAGGCCCCCAGGAGGCCCCCAAGAGGATCCCAAACGGCCCAAAGAGGCCCCCCCGAGGCACCCAAGACGCCGAAAAGCCCCTCAGGACGACCCTCTACTCGCCTGGGCGTCGTTTCTGGACGGGCTGGTGGGGATACGCGAAGCGTCTAGAATTGCAAAAACAAATAATGAAAAATTGTCCCAGGACCATGTCATTAATATTTTTGCACATCCTTCCTGTAGAAAGACATGCCCGCCGTAAGTCTACTAGGGCTCCAGGCGCGATGTTTCACGATGCTGCAACTGTTCGATACGTTGGATATCAGGGGACCCCCTTCGCGTTGTGAAAAGAACACGACGGGAGGTTTTCCCATATTTTCGGTCGGGGATCTTCTGACCTGGGTCAATCCAGACCCGGGTCAGTCAGGCCTTGCAGAATCCTGCAAGACCCTGCAAGATGCAAGATCCTGCACCCAAACCTGGGTCAATGCGAAGTATCCTGAAGGATCCTGCACCCAAGCCCAGATCAATGCGACCCTGGTCCTGCAAGATCGGGCGCTCTGGCTGACCCCCGTTTGCTTTGACCACCGTCTCAAGGCTCCCGAGTGGGCCCCTGCGGGGGCACTTCCGGGGCCTCGGGGACGAGCAAGAAAAAGCCGCTCGGGAAGCAGGAAGCGGCCCCGGGGCAGGAGCCCAGACCTCTGTGGGGGTCGACGCCGTGAACAAAAACCACGACGTCGGGGGTCCGGGGGGGCCCCGGACCGGGACAGACAGCATCGCCGGGACAGAATCGGCGGTGGACAAGCCTTCCTTTAGTAAACCACCCTTTAGTGAAAACGGCCTAGGGCCGAAACCGACGGACCTGGACCTGGAAAAATGACGGCCGCGACGCCCTCTCGCGAACCGAAAACGGCAAATTCGCTCATCGACGTGTCAGTGTAGGAGGCCTATCAATCTCCGACAGAATCGGGGGTCTCTGTGATGCGCCGGTCCTGACAGGATACGTACCTAGAGGAGACGAAACGCCAGCCACATAAACTTTTTGCGCTCTGCGCGGGTTTCTTGGATCTGCGCGGAGCGCGCCAGGGGCGGCGCCAGAGGCGCCGCCGGGGGAGCCCAGCGCGGGTCTGAGAAATCTGCGCGGAGCGCCAAAAGTTTATGGTTCTGGCGTTGTTTCTTCTTCGAGCATCGGGGGCCGCGGCCGTTCCAGAGCGCTCGGGAACGCTCTGCAATCGCGGGGTCTCCCCGCCCGGGCGATGGCAGAGAGGAAGCCCCTCCTTCGGACCTGGCAGCCTCCCGACCGGCCGCGGGAGCATGGCGCGGCCCAAGAGGAGAGGCGGAAGGGGAGGCCAGGGAGAGGGCGGGCTTAGGAGCATGAGACCACTTGCTCCTCCTCCTCCTGCTCCTCCTCCTCCTCCACAATTACGCAATATGAATACTACTCTCCTCTCTCCCCTGACGACGTCCGGAAGATACCCGGCCCCCCCTCCGCGTAATGATTTTTACGCACATAATTGCCTGGAAATGAGATTTCACTTGTTTTCTATGAGTTGCTAAAGTGCTGGCCTCATTTTCGGGCTGACGCTCGTTCCGAATCGTGGTCCCGCTGCAGCGCTGGCCTGCTTCCGCTCGTTCCGAATCGTGCTCCCGCTGCAGCGCTGGCCTCATTTCCGCGCTTTCGCTCGTTCCGAATCGTGCTTCCGCAACAGCGCTGGCGTCATTAGTTCCAGTGCCATACCACGGCATGGTCTTCGATCCTTCCAAATAGGCCCCCAAATCCAGAAAATGCTCCCCCGAAAAAAACATCGGAAGTGATTCCACATTCGGCGTCGATATGTTGATTTTGGGGGCCGCAGGACCCCCCCCAACTTTGGGGCGTCGCCACGCCATCCTATGTCATGCTACGGGTCGATCTTCAACACCATGCTATGCTATGTAATGCTATGCCATGCTACGACATCCCACTGTGCGAATAGAGAGGAGACCTACGCCATGGTAAGGGATGGGAGGGAGGGACAGGACGTCAGATACGACGCGAGCGCACCTATCTTGTCCTCCCCCCCCTTCCCCCCCCTCCCCCCTTCCCCCTCCTCCCCCTCCTCGTCCTCCGCCTCCTCCTCCTGCGGCCCCAGCCGAGGCTCCACCGCAGCATCACGTCCCCTGGCCGTCCCCGAGTGCCGCCCTCTCCAGGCTTCCAGGCCAGGCCGAGCTCCGCGGAAGCCACGCTACGCCGGAGAGGGCGAATGGACCGCGCGGACACAACATACCCAGGGCGCCACCAACGCCCTGGATCCCGTCTTTCTGCTGCATGTTTCGCGGCGGATTGATCCGTGGTGGTCCCAGAGCCGACACCGCGCCCCGATCTCAGGGCGCCCAGCCCCCCCCCCCCCCCGTGAAGGCCGCCCGGGTGGGGCATCAGCGGACGGGGTCGGAAGACCCCACCGCGTCGCCAGCGCATCGAAGGACTATCGGCGACGCTGGGAGGGAGAGAATCTCGGGCTCTCGATCGCGCCGCGTCGCCGATGCACCAACGCTGCGGCGCCATCCACGGGCCCCATCTGCCCTGGCACTCGACTTCGGCGGCCTGGATGTCGGGTTCCCGGGCGGTGCCCGGAGGCCAGAGGCCCAGCATGCCGATCCTGGCCCCCAGACTGCAGACACCCTGGGGTCTCGACCCCTTCCCAGACCTAACTTGTCATCTCGATCTGTTCGTTCATGGCCCTGGTCCCCGAGCACAGCACAGGCCGAAGACCTTCCGTCATTCTTCTTTCACGACGCATGGCGAACAAGAGTCGAATTAGGTGGGCTCGAAGAATGCCCCAAACACCAACATCTAGAAAGTGCCCTGGGCTCTGGACTCACAAAAAAACCATAGACCACACATCACGTCGACGGGTGCGTCCTGGACAGAATAGAAAGAACCCAGCCGTTGCAGCGAAACAAAAAAAAAAACATGAACCGAACAACATGGCTGACACGCACAAGGCAAATCCGGAAATTACCCTGCGACGTACCCAACCCGTTTTTAAAGAGTGGCAAGAGGAGTTGGCACACAGTAGTATGGTTTGTTGTATAGAAGAATAAAAACGCTCAAATATATGTTTATAGCGACTTGTCTTCTTCGATTGTAGAAGCTACATGGGATGCACGCGCGTTGCACGACTCACTGGACAGCAAAAGAAAGACGAGGACAGAAGCCCCAAGCTCGAAGAGGAAATGAGGGTCAGAGCGAGGGACAGGATAAGGACGGAAGAGGAGACGGTGGAAGGAGGAAGAGAACGACAACGAAAGAGGCAGGAAGAGGAATGCGGGTGGCGACTCTTTTCCAATGGCACGCTGGACGAGCAGCGCAGCCCGCGACATGTCGCTGTGGCGCTCCAAAGCGACGTCTAGGTCTCATCCGACCCGAATAAGACGTCACTGCGCTGGACCTCCCAGAAGCCCACGGCAGTGGCGACACTTTCGCAGGTCGCAACCCCCGACGACGGCGAGGTCCCATCTGATCTGGATAAGACATCACATCGCTGGACCTCCGAGGAGCCCACGAGAGTGGCGGCAGTTTCGCAATTCGCACCCAGGAACATACGAAAGCGGCGACGGTTTCCACTTCGTGCCCCGCAACGACGGCGAGGTCCCATCTGATCTGAATAAGACGTCACTCCGCTGGCCCTCCCAAGAGCCCACGAGAGTGGCGAGAGTTTCGCAGCTCGCATCCCCCACCGATGGCGAGGTCTCGTATGATCTGAATAGGACGTCACTCCGCTGGATCTCCCAGGAGGCCAAGCAGGTGGCAACAGTTCTTCAGTTTGAAAGCCCCAGCGGCGGCGAGGTCTCACCTGATCTGACTGGGACGTCACCCAGCTGGACCTCCCAAGAACCCACGACAGTGGCGATAATAGGACGTGACTCCGCTGGACATCCCAGGAGCCCACAACAGTGGCCACAGCTTCGCAGTTCGCGGCCCCCAGCGACTGCGAGGTCTCATCTGATCAGTGGACGTCGCTCCGCTGGACCTCCCAGGAGCTCACGAAAGTTGCGACGGTTTGGCAGTTCGCACCCACGAACACACGACAATGGCGACGGTTTCGCAGTTCACAGCCTCCAGCGACGACGAGGTCCTCGTCTGATCTCAATGGACGTCACCCCGCTGGACATCCCAGGAGCCCATGGAAGAGGCGACGGTTTGGCAGTTCGCACCCACGAACACACGACAATGGCGACGGTTTCGCAGTTCACAGCCTCCAGCGACGACGAGGTCTCGTCTGATCTCAATGGACGTCACCCCGCTGACCTCCCAGGAGCCCATGGAAGTGGCGACGGTGTGGCAGTTCGCACCCACGAACACACGAAATTGACGACGGTTTCGCAATTCACAGCCTCCAGCGACGACGAGGTCTCGTCTGATCTCAATGGACGTCACCCCGCTGACCTCCCAGGAGCCCATGGAAGTGGCGACAGCATCGCAGCACGCAGCACCCAACGACGGCGAGGTCTCAGCTGATCTGACAAGACGTTACTCCACAGGACCTCCAGCCAGCGACCGCGAGGTCTCAACTGATCAGACTAGGACGTCACTGAGGTGGACCACCCCGGAGCCCACGAAAAAGGCTACGGTTTCGCAGCTCCGCTGCACCTCCCAGGAGCCCACGCGAAGGTGGCGACAGTTTCGCAGTTCGCCATCAGGAACGCACGAAGTGACGACAGCTTCGCAATTCGCCCGCCAGCGACGGCGAGATCCAATCTGCTATGAATACAGTGAAGGCCAGTCCACAAGAAACCCAGCCCTGAGATCCTAGGGCGTTCATCGGTTTTTGGTGGAAACGTCGCGCATTCTTCAGCAAAACCATCGGAACCCAAAGAAACCCAGGGCACCCTGGAGGCAAGGAGGGTGGTTCTTGGTATGGGTCTCCACTGTAAGACGTCACTCTGCTGGGCCTCCCCACAGCCCACGACAGTGTCGACAACTCCGCAGCTCGCAGGACCCAGCGAGCCCAGGAGGTTATAAAAAGGAGGGAGAGAAGCCGTTCGGAACTCGCACGACGAGGGGAGAACAAACCAAGCACACAAACTAAAATCGGGGGGGCACAATGGTGGGGTCGGGGCACAGGTGGGGTTGGAGGGAAAATCGCTCTGCACGGCCCCTGGAAGAACAAAGCGCGGTACACGGGAGCATCTGGCTGGGCCCGTTCTCCAGCCCCACCTTGGGATAACCCTCCCACTACGAACCCCCGAACTAAACACGTACTCCAAATCCCTTATTAATCGACCCCCCTACAAAAACTGGACTCCCCTCCAAATGCGACCTAATATTCCGGACCCCCCTCTTCGACGGGGCGCCTTAATAAACCGGACCCCCTAAGCTCCAATCCAAAGAAAGCGCCCTAATAATCCGGACCCCCCCAGTTACAAAAAAGGCGTCTGAAAAAATGGACCCGGGGGACGATTAAGAAGGGATGGCCACAATTGTTCGACGCGGAGCTCCCCATGTGTGTATCTCATTTCCTGGCTCATCCCCACTGTGAGTGACCGGCCAGTCTGGGCAGGGCACACGGCCCCACCCCTGGCGGCTTCTCCCCAGGGTGCTGGAACCAGCGCCCTTCTCGAGACATCCTCACAATCCGTTCCGAAAGCATACTGGTCCGAGCCACCACACAGACAAACCAACCGAGACATCCCCAGAATCCGAGCGGGTACGGGCGAGAGCTCCGCTCCCTGCACCCCCTGGGGGAGCGGAAACTAGCGCTTCGCTCGAAACAACCCCACCCAACCTGCTTTGAATGCACCGAAGTCCAAGCCACCAAACAGGCAAACCGCCTCAGACATCCCCACAATCTGGGCGCGAAGGGGCAGATGTCCCCACCTGGCGGCTCCTCCTGGGGGTGCTCAAATGCCACGCCTGCTGCATAGGCGATGAGCATGGGGCTGTGACTGTATGAGTGATGTGCGCATGAGTCTGAATTAGACTTGGCTGAGTGTGAATTGGTCGACTGTATGAGTGAGTCCGAGGATGCGCGAGTCTGAGAATGAGTGGGTCTGAGTGAGAGTGAGTCTGAGTATCAGTGGATCTGAGTATGAGTGAGTCTGAGTATGAGTGCGTCTGAGTGTCAGTGAGCCTGCGCGTGAGAGCATCTAAGCGTGAGTGAGTCTCGGTGCTGAATATGGGTCGCCTGAGAAAAATCAAGTGTGGGGAAAGTGGACACGGGACGCGGAGGCACCACACTAATTCGCACGCCCAAGGCGTGCTAAAACTTCTGGCAAAACAACTTTAGAATGCTTCTAATTCGCACGCGCGTGGTTGCCCCTGGGGGTCCCCAGACGTAAAGTACCCGTCACGGTCCCTGGGCGGTCTCCGTCACGGATGCCAGAACTTCTTGGGGCGCCCTCAGGGCCTTCAAGAGCGTCTCAAGACGCCCCCAAGGCGGTCTAAGAGGCCCAGTCACCGGAAGTCGTTTTAAGATGCGCAAGATAGCCTCCAGACGGGCTTCAATCGCCTCCAAGACGCCCGAAGATGACTCCAATACCACTCCCAAGAAGCCCCCTGGAGGCACAAATCATAAATGTCCCATTGGTGTTTCAAGGTTTTCAACGTTCTCACCTTTTCGGCCGCCGACGCTCAAAGACGGCCCGAGAAGCCCCTAAGATCGCTCCTCGACGACCCATTAAGCCTCCAAGACCACAAAACCACCCCAGAGGCCCCAAGATCGCCCCAAGACGGCTTAAGAGGCCTCCAAGAGAATCCCACCACGGCCCAAGAGGGCCCCACGACGGCCCCAGAGGCCTCCAAGACGGACAGATCGAGCCCTAGGACGGCCACAAGAGGGGGCCCAGAAGGAGGAAACCGGACGGGCATTTCGAGCCCTCAGCCCCAAGAAGCGTTCAGGCTGCCCCAAGCGGCACCCAAGAGCCCCCCAAGGAGAGGGTCCAACAGGCCCCCAAGAGGCACCAAGAGAGACCGAAGGGGCATCCAAGGCGCACCCAGGCGGCCCCCAAGAGCACCCCCCCTAAAACTGCTACACAGGAGCCCCCCAAGAACCCTCCGAAGAGACACCAAGAAGAATCCATCCATGAAGGCTCTCACCCCACAACCGCAGCAGCGCTGACCAGCAGCGCCGCATGGCCCACGAACGCGCACGCAAACGCCGACGATGGCACAATTCGGGCCGGCAGAATGAGCGAAGCAATCAAATTTCGGATACAGTGGAGGCAAGTTCCCAAGAAACCTTCCACAAGAAACCCAACCCTGAGACCCCAGGACGTCCATTGGTTCCTGGTGTGGGATCGCCTCGCTTCCCATCGCAAGACCATCGAAACCCAAGAAACCCAGGAGCACCCCTGAGGCAAGCAGGGTGCTTCTTGACATGTGCCTGCACTGCATGGTGAAAGATAAGAACAAGAACTATTACTACGTGAAAAAACAGAAACAACAACCAAACGCCTGTCGGAAATCTCGGCCTGCGGTTTCCGCCCCGCCGGCGCCTCCCGGGCGGTCCGGGCCCTCTCGGAGAGCCTGTCGAGCTTCCTGCTGGAGGACGGCCTCCTGGCAACCACGGGCAGCTCGCGGACCTCCTGCGTGCCGTGGCCCGCCCAGGCGACGCCGCCTGGGCTGTCCTGGCGCGGACGGCGACGAAGGCCACGAGCCTCGACGACGGTCGACGCTGGAGGTGCTCGGGCGTCTTCGTGGGCCCTCGGCGGCTCTCCAGCCTCGGGATGTCTTCCAGCATCTGCGCCTCCCCGATCGGCGTCCAGGGGGGTGCCTCGGCTCGTCCCGCACGGCTCCGGAGGCCCGAACTGCGGCCCGAAGACCACCAGGCGTCGAGGGGGGCGACGACGAGGTCGACGACGACGACGACGACGACGACGACGACGACGACGACGACGACGACGGCGGCGGCGGCGGCGGCGGCGGCGGCGGCGACGGCTCAGCCCTCCGACGTCGTGACCCGTGCAGTTCTCAATTCCTGCCGCGGGAGGGCTTCTCCGGGCCTGGGGCCGTGAGGCCCTGAGGCCCCTGGGAAGGGGGTCGAGAACTCCGGCTAGAAGAAGCCCGCTGTCGGAGGCTTGGGGGCAGCTCCAGGGCAACGAGCATGCCCCCATCCGTGCCGTCGTGGGCTGGACACCGAGGCGCGACACCGTGGATACGCAACCCCGTGGGTTGCGTCCTGCGCGGGGCGTCCGCGCAGAGCCGCCGCCGTCTTCGCGGGGCCGCAGCGGAGGGGTCCAGGCCGCGAGGCCGCGGGCACGGCTGCGCCTCCAAGCCAGGCGCGAGGGCCGCCACCACCACGACTGCGACGACGCCCGCGGCAGACGAGGAGAGGAGCCCTGACCAGACCGAGGAGCGGTAGCAGGAGGAGGAGGAGGATCGAAGAGCGAGGACCGAGTAGGAGGAGGAGGAGGAGGAGGAGGAGGAGGAGGAGGGGAAGGAGGAGGAGGAGGAGGAGGAGGAGATCTGGGCGTGGCCGGGGCGCTCCTCGGGGGAAAGCGACGAAGCAGCCATGGTGAACTCTAGGAGGGTCAAGCTTGCCGGCGTTGACCTCAAGCAGTGAGCTCTCGGAACCCGGGTGTGCAAGCTGTGTGATGCAATCTAACAAGTGTGCTGCAAGCTATGTGGCGTGAGCTGTGTGTGGTGCAGGCTGTGTGCCGCGAGGTCTGCCGTGCAAGCCATGTGGTGCAAATGTGCGGTGCAAGCTGCGCGGTGTGAGCAGAGTGCTGCAGGCTAAGACATGCAGGCTAAGACGTGCAGGCCACGTGCAACGCAGGCAGCGCGAGGAGCCCACGAGGCGCCCCCGCCCGCCCGCCGGGCGAGACCTCGGCAGACCCGCCCAGCGCCCGCTGCGCCCACGAGGCGCCCACGGCCGCCCGCCAGGCGAATCCTCGGTGACACACACCATCAGAGCCCGTACAGTGCGGGCGCGATCGCACGAAAGAAACCCAACCCTGAGAACCCGTGCGCGAGTTGCACCTGAGGGGAAACCTGGAGCACCCTGAACGCAGCAGCTCCTTCCACGGCTGCGGGAAGTCACCGCGCAGCGCGAGAAGCGAAGAAACCCAGGATACCCTGACGAAAAGCACATGGTTTCTTGATGCGCGCCCCCACTGTAGTGCAAACACTGCTTGTTGATCAACTGCGTGAAGACAAACTGCGCGAACGGTCCGCGCGGATTTCCGGCGTCGGCGCTGGGACCCCCCCATGGCGCGAGGAGCGCGCCAGGGGCTGCGCCGGAGGTGCCGCCAAAAGGGCAGGCGCAGATCCGAGAAATCCGTGCGGACCTCCGAAGGCTTACGTTAGTGCAGTCTTTCGTTCTTCGACTCCGGGGAACACGCTCCTTTTTGGCCTCGATTAGCAGCCTGCCCCGCACAGCGACCACGACGACGACCTCCGCCACGACGACCACCCCGACGACGACGACCACCGCCATGACGACGACGACGATCGGCCCGCCTGCCGCGGAAAGCGCCTCTCGCGGGCAGAGGTCCGCCGGGACGGCTGGCTGGCCGCTGAGGGCGGACTGGGGAAGCAGCAGCTGGCCAAGCCTCGGGGGGACGTCGACTGACCATCTCACTGGTCCTAGCCTGGCCGATCCTGGGCCAAGGATCGGTGCGTGCCCCCCTCCTCCCATCGTGAAACAGACAACTCAACGGACGGTGTTGCAAGTTGTTGGCCTCTAGGGGCCCTCACTGGGCCCAAGGATCGACAAAAAACGACCCAGGATGAAGAGCTGGTCCCCGGGAGGCGGTCCAGATCTCTGAGGGCCTACGTCGCGAAAAAACGTGACGTGAACACGTCACACACTTCTCCCTTCACGTGCTTTTCCTTGCGCCGCCTGGGACCCTTATGGAGGGTTGTCTTGATGGGCGTGTTTTCCACCACCACCATAAGTTGGAGGGGGAAATGAGGAGGACGAAGAGGAGGACGAGGAAGAGGAGGAGGAGGACGAAGAGGAGGAGGAGGAAGAGGAGGAGGAGGAGGAGGAGGAGGAAGAGGAGGACGAGAAGGACCCCCTCCCCCTCCAACTTGTGGTGGTGGTGGTGGAAAACAGGCCCATCATGTCTTGACCGAGGCCTGGGCCCAGGGTGGGGCAGTGGTCGGTGAGGTGGCCAGAGGCGGAGCAGAGGCAGTGTCGACGACACGCCGCCGTGGGGGCCCCGTCAGCGTGCTGATGGTGAGGGAGCACCAGTTCGATGCTCGCCACTCTCTCCACCGTTGGGTCGGATCGGGCGAAAGGGGGGGATAGCAAAGGGGGGGTTCGAGAATCAGCTCGCGTAGCTGATTTTCCCGGCCCCTCCCGGCGCCGGGAGGCGCACATCTTTCGAGGAATGGGCCCGGCGGCGGGGCCGAAATCAGCTGCATGCAGCAGAGATTTCGTAACCCCCCCTTTCCCTATCCCCCCCTTTCGTCCCGCCCGAGTGAGGGAGCACCAGTTCGATGCTCGCCACTCTCTCCACTGTTGGGTCGAGCGTCCGTCGCCTTGAGCCGAACTTGAGTCGGACTTGAATCGAACTTTGGTCGAGCGAGTCGGGCTGGAGTCGAACTAGAGCCGAGCAGGAGCCGTGCAGACACGCTGGGCGGGCCCCGGGAGGGTCCCCCAACGAGCATCTGACACCAAGCCTTGCAACAAAAGCGACGGAACAACACGCTGCCGTGCTCCCGACGCCGGCGTGACACTGATGCTCCTGCCTCCCCTCCCGAGGCAAGCTGACGCCCCCCGGGCAGCCGGGCTGTGGGCTCCCCACGTCCGCGGGCGGGTCGGCGCCCTCCGCCACCGCGAATACCTCCTTCGAGGGGACAGGGGGGAGCGGCCGGGCACGGCGACGCCAGCAGGCGGGAGGGCTCCGCGAGTCGCGGGGCGCCGCCGGGAGAGGCGGGAAGGCTCCCCCCGGAGGCCTCCCACGAGCCACAAGTTGGAGGCCGCCCAGACGGGGTCCGAGCAGGTGGGGTCGGAGGATCGCGCCGCGTCGCGGATGCGTCGGTGGTGACCATCTTTGCGCCTCCAACGGAGGTTCGGCCTTATGGGGCCCTCGTCGGACCCCAAGATCGTCATGAACGAGTCTGGATGAAAATCCAGCCCTGGGGAAAATGTCGAGTCTTCCAGGGCCCCACACTGCAAACAATAGCAGATCGGATGTCTTGGCCGCTTCGGGCGCTCTCGGAGGCCTCCTCGGAGGTTCGAGGAGGCCTTCGGAGGGCTTTCGCGGGGGCCATCTGCGCTTCTGTGATTCCCGAACGTTTTCGGCTGCGTTCTTTACTCCCAAGCTAGAGGCCTCCTGGATGGGGTCCGACTAGATGGGGACGGAGGATCGCGCAGTCGGCGTGGAGAATCCGCATCGAGCCGCATCGCCGATGCATCGGCGATGCGGCGCAATCCTCCGACCCCATCTACAGTCGGACCTAGGCCAGAAGAACACCCTGAAGAACCCGAGACCCTCCGCCAGCCAAAACACACAGAGAACATCCGAGGGTACTCTCCCCCAGGATGCCCAAGTGCATCCAACAATCACTAAGAATATTAGGGCACCCTCCCCGAACCGACCTTGTCCTTATGCCTCGGTCCGACCGTACCTGGACCCCATCCAGGAGGCCTAGACAAGGGCCACATGGCTCTGGATGCCTGCGGGGGCCGCTGGAGGCTAGAGAAAGAGCTTCCAGCAAACCCGGAGAACACTAGGGCACCCTCCCCGAACATAACTCGATCTTATACCTCTGTCCGACTCTACTTGGACCCCATCTGGGAGGCCTCGAGAGGGGGCGGCGACATGCTTACATGCCGGAGGAGGGGGAGGAGGAGGAGGAAGAGGAGGAGGAGGAGGACGACGAGGAGGAGGAGGAGGCAGAGGAGCAGGAGGAGGAGGACGACGAGGAGGAGGTGGAGGAGGAGGAGAAGGAAGAGGAGCAGTCGGAGGAGAAGGAGGAGGAGGACGAGGAGGAAGAGGAGGACGGGAGGAAGAGAATGAGGAGGAGGAGGAGGAGGAAGAGGAGGAGGAGGAGGAGGAGGAGGAGGAGGACAAGTAGGGGGAGGAGGGGGAGGGGGAAGGCACTCGAGGCGTGTGAAAGGCCCCCGAGAGTCACCTGGTTCTGGATGCTTGCGAGGGCCTCTGGAGGCTGGCGACAGAGCGAGGCGGAGCCCCCGCCGGCGCTCCCCAAAAAGGCTGCCACCTGTCGCGGATCCATCGGGCCGCTAGGTCAGATTAGGTCGGGCATGTCCTCCTACAGGCGGATTTGGGGAGAATGATGCGAACATAAGTTGCTAGTTGTGTCCACTCCTTTGTTGTTTTTTTACAAAGAAGAAGCAACACCCAACAATTGTATAAATAGAAGATCGGAAAAATCGTTCGAAGACTATTTCTGCACTATGTCTGAATCATCCTCCTGTAGAGAACTAATAAAAATCGGGCGAGGACAAAACTCGAGATCCAGCGGCTCTGGAGTGGATGCCTCGGGCGCCGCGGCCCTCTCGGAGCGTTCTGGAACGCTCCGAGAGCGTCTCAGAACGCTCTGGAAGGGACTTAGCCTCGTCCTAGCACCGTCCGAACCAGACCGGGCCCCGCCCCTGGAGCAGCATAGCCATCGGGGGTGAGGGATCGAACAGGCTCCACGGGCACACCTCGGCGCGCATCCTTGACTCGAGCCGCGGACACCGCTGTTCGGGCGATGGGGGCCAGACAGGCCCCACAAGGCCTCCGACGGCTCGAGCACCAAGAAATCCGACGGTGGGGCCTCCAGGGACCTGATCACCAAAACGTCTGGCGGCCTGGCCACCCGGACATTCGTCGGGGACCCACTTACCCGGGTCAATACAAACCAGGGTCAATCAGACCCTGCAGGATTCTTGAAAATCCTGCGAGATCCTGCAGGACCCTGTGCCCAAACCCGGATCAGTGCACCCCTGGCTCCGCAGGATCATGCAAGATCCACCGCTCTGACTGACCCCCGTTTGCATTGACCCCCGTCTCTGGAGCCACGAATTCGGCCCACGAGGCCCGAACCCCGACCCCCGACGGCACGACTTTTCAAAGCGTCGACCCCTAAGAGGCCTCGACCCACTACCCGGGACACTACCCAGGAACAGCTTTTCATCCCGAGTCGCTTTACGACGGTCCCGAAGCCCGGTGAGCGAGGGCCCCAAGGGGCCGAATCGCGACTGTCTCATGACTCCGAGGGGTCTGGGAAAACGCCCGCCCCTCCTCCCTGGAACGGCGGCGAGCCCTGGGGGGAAGTGAGGTAGGGGCGGGCCTTCCAGAAGGCTCGGAAGCCCCCCAGGCCTTCTGAGAGTTTTCGAAGCCCTCCCCGAAGACGTAGAAAACCTCTCAGAAGTCGCGAGGGCCGCTGAGAAGCTCCCCGCTTCCTGAGAAGGCCTTCTCCTTCTCACGTCCCCCCCTCGCACGTCGCCGACCAAAGGCCGAAATCGAGGGAAATACCAGGAGAGTGCGATGTGGGGATGTGCCCCTCACGTCATCGACGGGGGGCGATAGATCGGACCTCGGCAGGCGCGGGGCAGGGATGTATTATTCGGGTGATCGGGGGGCCGCACACGCACAGCACACACACAGACACACACAGACACACACACACACAGACACACACAGACACACACACAGACACACAGACACGCACAGAGACACACACAGACACACACACAGACAAACACACACACACATACACACAGACACACACACACAGACACACACACACACACAGACACACACACAGACACACACAGACACACACACACAGACACACACACAGACACACACACACACACACAAACACACACACACACAGACACACACAGACACACACAGACACACATAGGCGGCGCGCCCAGGGGGGAAGTGAGAAGGAGAAGGCCTCAGCAGGCTCGGAAGTTCCCAGCACTTCTGATGAGTTTTCCAAGCCGTCCCCGAAGACAAAACAAACATGTATCAGAAGGCCTCCGCTCGTCCTTCTGAGAAGGCCTTACTCGCTCGCCACCAAACACACACAGACACAGACATAGAGATATCGAGATTGCTTTAGATATTGATGTTGCATGTGTACACGTGCGTTCAAATCTGAAACACAAGCTACAAACTTTGCAATGCTGCCCAGGCGCGTCGCCCCAGACGCCTTGCTCCTCCAAGCCCGGCGTGCAATCGGAAGGAGACACAGGAAACCGAATGACCAAAAGCGATGTTGCCGTTTTCGCCGTCGTCGGCACAAGCCGACTGAAGGGCCCGAACGGTCTTCCCTTCTCCCTGCGCGCGCGCGGCTGGATGGAGGAGGCCGCTGGGAGCCCGCCACGGGGGCCACACTCCGGGGCTACCCTTCGAGGGGCTACGCTTAAATCGGGCACATAAAAAGTCGAAACATATTCAAACAAAAAAAAAATGTTTGCCTATTTTTGAATATTCCTCCTGTAGAGGGACATGCCCGACTTAAGGCTACGCTTGGGGGCCACACGTGGGGGGGAGGGGGGGCGGTTCGCTTGCGGCGCCACCCCCTCGCCCAGATCCGCAGGCCCCTGCCTTCTCATTCCTCCTCCTCCTCCTCCTCCTCCTCCTTGCTTTCTCTCCATCCGTCCCTCCCTCCCTCCCTCCCTCCCCCTGCTCCTTCCCTCCTCTGTCCGCTTCCTCTCCATCGTCCTCGCCCTGCCCTGCGAGTCCTTCGCCCCAATGTCCAGCGCCTGCCCAGGTCCCCGAAAATGAATCCCCAGGGCCTCCGGGCGGCGGCTTTGAGGGCAAATCCCCACCTCGGCAAAAGGGATTGCGGAACTTGCCATCGCTCGGACGTCTATTTTCCGTATTGTTCGATTTCCTGCTCTTGTTTGTCCAACATGATCCAAGATGATCTTCAATGATCCGAGATGCACATTTCCGAATGATGCCAAGGCCGGCGGCGCGCGCTCTCGAGGCCCTGAGCGGGGCCGGGTCTATCTGGCCAGCCTCGAGCGCATCCCTGCTCGTCCCTAGGATTGGCAGGCCCAGGGGCGACTACATTCTCGGGGGGGGCGTCATCAGAAACTGGGAGGGATCCTTGCGAGTTAGCGTCGAGATGAGGTGGTGCCAGTCATGGGGGCAAGAATCGAGGAGTGCAATTTGGAGTCCCGAAACGGTGTGGTGACAGACCGTGCGGTGACCTCGAAATCCTCCAAGACCTCACCGCACGGTCCGTCACCCCCGGAGGCCCCTATCGCCCGAGACATCCTCGGAAAACGACCCGAGTCCCAAAACCGTGCGGTGACCCCGAATTTCCACCGACTCACCGCACGGTGTGGTCACCACCCCATTTGGGGGCCCCCGATGCAAGCACGCCCCCGCCCTGGGTTCTACAAAGACGTGGCCTGTAGGCCTCCCGGGAGCGCCCCCACAAAGGCCCGAGAGCCGCCGGGCCGCGCGGCACGCGCGATGTGCAGGGCCTACCCTGTCAGCCCACAGGAGCTTCAGCGCACAGCCTCGCGTAAACCAGGACAGGGGCGTGTTGACGCCCCTGAAGGAACACGTTTCAATGAAGGGGCCCTGGGACACACAAATAAACAGACACAAATAACAGGATTCCCCATATGTTCCCATATTTTCTGAGTTTTTGTCTTACCCCCCACTTCCCATATCTTCCCATACTTTCTGGGGAATCGACCGTTAATTGTGTCTGTGTGTTTTTGTTCCCTCCTGACTCAAGGCTGGTAGGGACTCGGCAGGAGGCGGCCCGCGCCGTGGGGCCCTCCGGGATCTCTGGCTGCCGTGTGGCGGCGGGACCGCGCGGCGGCCACGAGGTCCAAGGAGACATGCAGCCTGCGGCCCGTTTTGTCTGCATCGAGGCGCGGCAGACCGAGAAGTTCGTGGGAAAGATGTGTGTTTGTGTGTGTGTGTGTGTGTGTTTGTGTGTTTGTGTTGTTTGTGTGTTTGTTTTTGTTTTCTGTGTGTGTGTGTGAGTGCGGCATGGCATGCCAGGCGTCTGGCGGACCGCGGGCCTTGAGCGTTCTGTGGCAGGAAGGGCTGGATACCTGGCGGTCGGTCACCAAAAGCTTCAGCTCTGCGCTTTCACGCGGTAGTGTACTATCATACTATCTCATGATCTTCGATTTCATGCCTCACAGCAGTGCCGTTTCACTTTCGCCAATGCACCTGTGATGTGCACGTCGTCTGTTGTTTTTTTTTGTTTCTCTCTCTCTCTCTCTCTCTCTCCTGGGACCTCGGAGGCCCTGGCCTTCGGTCGGGCACGTCCTCCTGCAGGCGGATCTCGGAGGAAAAAAAAAAAACGTCAAGCACAAAACGCGGCAGAGAATGATAAGAACAATCATTCCCAGACTGTGTTTTACGATTCTCGAGCATTCCCCATGTAGAGGGACACGCCCGACTAAACCCTGATCGTCCGAGGCGTTCCCCGAGAACGTCCCGAGTCCCAAAACCGTGCGGCGCCCCGAAAGCACACGGACTCAGCGCGCGGTGTGGTCACCACACCGTCTGGAAAGGGCCCCGAGGTCCGTGCCAATAGGTTGGCCTTGGGGCTCCCGGGCACCATTTTTAGGTCGAGCATGTCCTCCCACGGGCGGGTTATGGATGAGAAATGAGAAGTAGTCAGAAAAAACAATCAAATATGGTCAAACAAATCTTCCCCAGGTTATGTTCTGACTACGTTTGCATCCCCGCTCGGAAGAAGTGCCCCCCCCAGCCGTCACTGTTTTGAACAGCCGACTGCCGCGGACGCGATGGCACGCGTCAAGTGCCTGAGGGGGTGAGAAGACGCTAGGCTGCTCACCAGGAAAACTCCGAAAACTCATCCTCGTTTTCGCTTGCCACGACTTGCCAGCATTTCATTGCGCAGGACCGTGTTGAGTGAGGCCTGCAGTCGTCCAGGCAGATCTTTTCGGAGCTTCTGTGCTTGGGCCACATGACTAGGGGAGACCTTCTGGATGCTTCGGAGCAGCGCCGCAGGCTTCATATAGATCCGACAACTTTCTGCGCACATCCAGCGGCCCCGGCTCTGAATGTCAGGCAGGCCAACACCGTTCTTGAACGCATCATGCGACGGGCCTCCGTGCCTCATCCCGTGCGGCACCACCTTGTAGCCCAGGTGGTCGGAGGCTTGGTTGAAGGCCTTCTCGACAGCAGCCAGCGTGAGCCCTCTCAACAGCAGCTCGCCTGGCTTCGTCCGCTCGAAGACACTCTTGAGCAGGGGCTCCATCCAGCGACGATCTTGCCAGGCAGCCACCACCCCCGCGTCGAACTGGCGGTTCTTGGCGGGCCTGTCTCTGGTCGAGGGGGCCACCGTGATGCTCCACTTCTGGATCGAGGCGCCCGTCACGGGCGGGCACAGATCCTCCTTGCGGAGCTCGATCGCCTCGGGCGGCCTGAGGTAGCAGTCCCAGGCCAGCACGGCGAAGAACCCGACGAGGTGCAGCTCGTGCTGGATAGAGAAATCGACAAACAGCCAAAACAACTCCTCGCGCGGTGGGTCCCGCGACTTCTCTGGCGCTCTTCGAGAGAAAGCGCGCAGCGTGGCCTTGGCAAGAGCAAAGCAGCTGGGGGACTTGATCGGAAAGTCCAATGTCCAGGCCACGCCGTCGAGGGCATCGCGGGCAGCGCTCACTGCAGCGCCGTCCAGGAAGAGGAACTCCATGTACTCGACGAGGAGCTTGTCCCATTGCCCCACGTCGGTGACGGCTGGAACAGCACGGGCGAAGCGGACCACGGCAGCGTAGCAGTCGCCATAGCGCTGCTGCGTCGTAGGGCCCACCGCCAGGCGACGTTGAAACCCAGGACCCTCTTCAGCGTGGTGTCGGCGTCGCTGTCCTGCAGCGCGATCGGCGGCGGCCAGGCCCCTGGCGGTCAGCGAGGACGCCCAGCTCCCACATGAGCGGCTGCCCGCAACAGTACCCGTCTGCCGACTCCCACCCGAGCGTGGCCTTAGTCGGGAGGGGTTCCACCTGGACGAAGTGACTGACCTTCTGGCCGAGGCAGGCTGCCAAGTGCTCCTCCCGCCGCTGGTCGATGCGGGACTCGCCCTCCTTCCTCCAAGCGGCGGGCGGAGCGGCGTCCCACAGCACTCCCGCCAGGCGGCGGCAAAAACTGAGGAGGGTAAGGCCGAGGCGAAAGACGTCCTCCACCGCCAAAAAGCCGGTGCCGTCGCCGCGGCTGGGAGGCGAACCGACCCTTGCAGCACGACGTGTCGCGCATGCCCGGGGCACCTGGCCTCCATGCGCGCAAGGCCATGCAGGTTGCCCACGAGCAGGGTCGGCTTCTTCCATGCTGCGCCGAAGGCGCACATGTCCAGCTTCACGCGAACGGCAGCAGCACGCCTAAGCAGGCTCTCCAGCGGTGGCCAGCTCCAGAGATGGCTCGACCGAGGGTTCTCGATGACGAACTGAGCGCCAGCGTCCAGGCAGGCCCGCACCACTCGACGCGAGAACTTGGCGCAGGCGAGACCGGAGGCCGACGCGGCCGAGTCCGCCATCTCGCCACCTCGCCGAGCAGCGCTCCAGCGCGCGCAGGGGGTCCCCAGGGCGACGGCCCAGATCGAGCCGCACAGGATCCACTGCACGATGGCGTCCGCGACCGGGGCCCTGGTGACGTCGAAGTACTCTGCGTTGATGCGATCGACTGGACCAGGGCAGCGAAGCCCGCCGGCCAGGGCACCCGCGGTGAGACGGCAGCACCCAGCGAAGAGCTCGAGGAAGTACACCTCACCACGCTGTCTGAGCCCGCGGTGCCGAAGGCGACGAGCAGCGCTCCCCGCCGCGGCCAGCGGCGGGCTGTCACACGCGGCCTCTTCGCCCGCCTCTGTCGCCCGAGGGGTCGGTGACCTTTCCCTGCTCCCACCGCGGCCCTCGCAGGGCCCCTCGGCGAGCAGCGGCGGGCTGTCGCGCGCGGCCTCTTCGCCCGCCTCTGGCGCCCGAGGGGTCGGTGACCTTTCCCTGCTCCGAACGGGATCCAGAAGGTCACCGTGGTCCTCGCAGGGCCCCTCGGCGAGCCGCCATCGGCGGGCGGCGGCTGAGAGCGGCTCGGCGGCCGTCGGGGGCTTCTCGGCGCGGGCGAGCGGGCGGTCCAGGCGGCCAGCGTCTCGAAGTTTGGCAGCCCGGCCCTGCGCGCTCTGACCTGCCCCGCGCCACCGCAACCTGGAGGCGAAGTCCGAGGGGTTGCGGTCGGTGCGGATGTGCCTCCGCGCCCACCGCACGTTGGCAGCGATCTGCCATGAGTTTTCCCGTCGGAGCAGCGCCAGCAGCTCCCGGGCTCGAGCTCGCCCGCGATCGCAGGCGAGGATCTCAGACATGTTGTCCCCGAAGGAGAGCAGCACGGCGTTGTGTCTGACACTGTCGCTGCAGTGGTCGGCGAGGCCCATGGGCGCAGCGCGGGCCTCCAGGTTGTGAATCTTATCAGGGCGCTTCCAGCTCCCAGCTCGGATACATCTCCAGCGCTCGGGGGGGCCCCACTCGTGGCCGAGAGCAGGCGCCAGGCCAACAACCTCCACGACATCGCCCAGCTGCGACTCACTCGGGATGACGGCGACACGCGACTCCCGCAGCCGACCCAGCTCCTGATCCACCTCGCGGGCGGCCCAGGCGCTGAACGTCCCCCCGCCCGTCTCCAGCTCGTGGGCCCCGTCGGGCAGGGCACCGGCACCGCAGTCGTCCTCGCGCTCGTTCTCCAGCTCCCTGAACCTCCAGCGCTCGCGGTAGATGGCCGCAGCCCATGCCTCCCAAGGTGTCGCCCTCGTGATGTGGACGGCGCACGCGTGCGAGCTGGAGTCGCTGCAGTAGACGTGCTCCGCGATGGGGCGGCCGAGGTCCGAGACGGCGAGAGGCAGGAGGCCCCTGATGAGCCTGACCTCGGCGAGCTCGTTGGCGTCAAACTCCCTCCGCTCCCCGCGGCCGTCCCCGATGAACGGGCACGGGTACTGCAGGGTCGAGGGCAGCTCCCGCCTGGTCGAGAAGTGGTCGACGATGTGCCCAACCATCCGCCTGACGATGCCCGGGGCGGAGCCCTTGGTGAACTCGAGCTCGCGGAGGGCGTGCCGCAGCCGCCGCGTGCGCGACGACCTGGGAGCGAGTGATCGTCTCGTTCCCTCGATCCGCCTGCCCGCCAGCTCCAGCTCCGTGGCCGGGTCGACGTTCTCGTGAGTGGCGAAGCCCATGGCGTGCAACTCCTCCGAGAGCGCCTCGTGGAGCGCGGCGGTCGCCTCGAGCGAGCCCCCGATGACGTTCCCGTCGTCGACGCAGGGCGCCACCGCAGCAAACCCAGGGCCGAAAACAGGGCTGGGGCGCCAGTCGGCCAGCGACTCGCCGCCGCACCCGACCTTGCACATCGCTCGGCGCCCAGCCTCCTCCAGCGCGCTGCGGCAGAAGAAGGGCGCCCAAGACCAGCCCATGGCGAGCCCGCCGAAGCAGGCCCACAGCTGGTCGTCAGGGCTGACGGGCTCCATCCTCGCGGCGTCCTCGTCGTGCACAGCCGCGACGTTGAGCCCCCTCGCGGTGTAGATCTCGCCCAGGCAGAACCACGACGCCATGGCGGGAAGCCGGAACTGGTAAACCCCGTCCTCGAGGTCGACCCCGGCCCCCGAGATACAGACCTCGCCACCCTCCTTTCCGAGGGCGCCACCTGGCCGGGGGGAAACCCCAAGCTGGGAAGAGCCCTCGGCACATAGGTCGAATCACTGGTCACTGAGGTTAAGGCAGCTGAGAGCTCCAGGAGTAGCCAGACGGGACTTCGGCGGCCTCCTGTGGAGCTCGTTAACTGGTCTGGCATCCAACACGAGGCGGATCGCGTCCTTATCTTTCTTCTCGACAAAGAACATGCCCACGCGCCCGAGCCGACGCCGTCTGTAGGCGATGAGCCCAACGGCATCGAGTCGTCGAATAAGGTCACGTCGGCGTGGGCCTGGCTGTCGAAGAGAGGGGCCCCAGTGTGGCTGGATCGGCTCGGTGATCGCAGCTCTGGCGGCGGCGTCGAGGGCGATCTTGGAGTTCGGGTTGTCGAGGTACTCTGAAGGGGCCCTGGGACACACAAATAAATACACACAAATTAAAAAAAAAAAAAAAAAAAAAAAAAAAAAAAAACTTCCCCATATGTTCGCATATTTTCTGTTTTTTTTTTTTCTCCCCCCCCACTTCCCATATTTTCCCATATTTTCCTGGGGATCGTCGATTAATTGTGTCTGTGTGTATCTTTCCCTCCTGATACTCCCGCGCGTAGTCACCGACGAGCTCTCTGGCGTCGATGGGCCGCGTGCGACCTTCGAGAACCTTGAGCTTGCTCGGGGCGTACCTCGCAGAAGTCGAAGTGCCCTCCACATCGTAGGTGGATGAAGACCGCACCAACTCAGCCAAAGCGCCTCCCTCGAAGGAGGAGAACGGGATCGGCGGGTCGAAGAGCTTGACCATCCTGGCAATGTTGGCGAGCATGGACCGTTGGCAATCCGACAGCTCATGCCCAGGAACGCGGCGGGGCAATTCGATCCGCACCGACTGGCCCGCCCTCGAGTCGGCGAGCGCGTTGAGCGAGGCGACGGCGTCGGCCACCAACGTCTCGGCGCGCTCGCGCCTGGCCCTCCGGCGAACGGCCCTCCGATTGGCAGGCCGTGCTTCCCGCGCGCGCTCGACCGCGAGCGGCAGCGGGAAAGGCGCTGGCGAAGGCGGCACCGAGTCGCCCCCCTCACCAGCGCAGGGCTCAGCGCCAAGCTCAGCGCCAGCCCCAGCCACCATGGTGCAGCGGCAACTAGTTCTTGTCCTTCTCCTTCTTCTTGGCTGCCCGCTTCTCCTCCTCCTCGGCGTATAAGCGCTGCTGCTTGAGTGCGCATGCGTGCGTCCGCTGTTCCTTTGCCACGTACCTCGCGAAGTCCCCGACGAGGACACCCCCCGCCGAGTCCAGCTTCGAGGCGACCATGACCGACGCGCCCTTGAAGTCTGGCGCCTTCGGGTTCCTCTTGACCGCGGCATGGATCCGCAAGACCAGTCGGGCAGCGCGTTCCGCCCCAGCAAGCTCTCCCAGGTTCAGCTGGTCGAAATTGCAGAAGTGGAGCAGCGTCGTCAGCAGGTCGCGATGCTTGTAGCTGATCTGGCTGTCGGGCCCGACGCCACTGCTTCGAACCCAGTAGTCGTGGAAACCTCCCACTCTTCTCCCGAGGCCCGAACAGCGCGAAGAAGCTCCTTCACCGCCGAGGGCCCCTCGAACGGCCAGTCTGCCTCCAGCTTCGTGGGGTCGATCCAGCTCATCTCCCCCATGGCGGACCTGAGCGACCGATAGCGACCTCCTGTCGAGTCGCGATCCACAGGAAGAATCCTCGGATCGCGCCCTGGCCCTGTCCTCTTCTCCTCCTTCCACTCGTCCACGCGCTCTGGCGCGAGCCGCTCCGCGGTGGTCCACATGGTCTCGCCGTCCTCCTCGACCCTCACCAGCGCGGTCGCATCCCGCGAGACGAAGGTGTTCGGGTTGGCGATCACTCCTGAGTCGATCACCTCCCCAAACTTCGCAAAGGCCGTGTCGGCAAACCTCCACTCGGCGGCCGAGGCCGCGGCGGCTGGGCCCGCGACGGCTGCACCATGCATCAGAGCCAGCGCCCCGCATTCCCGTCTGATCTCCGCCAGCTGCTGGTCCGTGAGGGCATCGGGGCCGTAGTAGCTCGCCCTCGCGCGCGCGGGCACGGGCTGTCCGCGCGTCAGTGGGATGACGTGGAGCTCCGACAAGTCCACGATCTGCGTGTGCAGGTCTGGCGTGGCTCCTGCCCATCGGGCATCCGCGATCCTGACGACCAGCATCCGCCAATGGTACTCGAAGTTCGGATCGTCTCGAAACCTCACCGCGATCTGCAGCTCGGGGATGTCTAGTGCCGATGCCATCTAGACTTAGGGCCTCGGCCGTCTGGGCCTCCACTCGGTGACGACGGTGGAGATCTCCGCGGCCAGTGCGCTCCCAGCCTCGCCCGTCGGCGCCGAGAGACGCACCGGGCGGCTCGGCCCCTGCGGCTCGAGGGCCGCGAGCGGTCTCCCCAGCGCGCCACTGGGCGAGCTGCCAGCCTGCCAGCGCCGCGAGCAGCACCAGCCCCACGCCAGAAGCACCACCGAGGCCCCGCTGGCCGCGCCCGCGGCGAATGCAGGGAACCCGCCGCTGGGCGGGCACCGGCAGTCCACGCGGCCCGGCCGTGATGTCTGATCTGCCAGCTGCGCCCCGGCCGGGCAAGTACAGTGGCAGTAGAAGTCCGCGGGCTGCCCTGGGCACGCAGGGCACGGCGGGCACGTGACCGCCGGGGAGCACGCCGGAAAGGCCGAGCACTCGACCACTGGCGAGCAGTCTGGGCAGCCCGCGCCAGGCGCCCAGATGCTCGAGACCCAGGTCCCGAGCAGATGCGAGAACACAACGCACGCCACGCCCAGGCCCGCCAGGAGCATGCACGGTTGCGTGCGCTCCGGGGGCGCGCGCGCGCGCACCAGCTATTGCCGAAAAGGCTTACGGCGCGGCAGGATCGCGGGGAGGCGCGGGAAGGATGCAGGATTAAGTCGGGCCTGGCCCCCTACAGGGGGGATGTTGGACGACGAAACATGTGATATATATATATATATATATATATATATATATATATATATATATATATATATATATATATATATATAATATATATATATATAATATATATATATATATATATATATATATATATATATATATAAACAAAAAAAACACATTCCCCCTGTAGAGGGACAGCCCCGACTTACCTGCAGGGGCCTTTGAGGAGCAGCGGGAGGGAGGGGCCGGCTCGGAGCGGGGGAAACCGTCGACCTGGAGCCGACGATGCGTCGCCGACAAGTCGGCGATGGGCCCCCGGTGGCAATTCCGCACGGCTCTTGGCAAGAGCGGGCTATCGAGCCCCCACCGGCGATGAGAGGGCGGGGA